TTTCCTTTTTCTCCTTTTTATAGCAGTGCAGGTAAAGTTATGGCTGTTCCCCGACAAGATAACACTACATCACAATTATTTATGTGCAGACTTTTTTTAGTCTCTTTCTTTCAAGCGATGTCCATGTTTGGAATAATTTTGCATCAGTTTGAGCTGGACTTGGAAGCAAGTTGAATACACAGCAGTTTGTCTTAAGTTCTGCTTTGAGACTGACTATTTATAAAGCCAAATGAGAGAGAAATATCATATATTGCTGAATTAAAAAAACTAATCATTTAACCTCACTGGTGATCTCATCTTTGATCCAATTTTATTTGCTAATTTAACTATTAATCATTTAAGAAGTTTATCATGCGTATTTCCAAAGAAGGAAAGTACCAATAAATACATACTCAGTCCAGTTACGGCACCTGCCATTCTTAACATTAGAATAGGTTCCCGTCTCGCACGGTTTACACACGAATGTGAAGTCTACAATGCCTACAAGAAAAGAGAACATGCATCATTAGTGGTCAGTGCCTTTACTGAAAGATGGGGATACAACAGATTAGAGCACAATGCATTCCCTCGACACTCCTTCTGCATTATGAATCACCCCCCTGGAGAAACACGTAAGCAGTTCTTGCCACCTGTGCGTTTTGGGCAATGTATGGGCAGCCCCCTTACAGAAGAGGTACCGAATAGTCTGATCTGACAGCAGAGGGTGTAAAGTTAAGAGGCAACACAGAGTAAAACAGTCTTCTACTGACAGTTCTAGCAGCTTGGAAGAAAAATAATACTGAAAGTCCGAGCATGAAAGTGAAAGTCTCAAATTTAGGAAGGGAAGAGTTATAAATTAGGGAAGCAAGGGGTTTAGCCACAGAGGCCACAGTATAAATGCCATTTCTCTCTGCATCACGAGCCTTCCCAAAAGCAGGTTATAATAAGTGAAGGAAACTGTCTGCTGCTCAGCCAGCCACTTATATTGAACTCCGACTTTTAGAGTCTTTTGCGTTTCTTTAGTTACCACGCCTAACCAGCTCCTCGCCCTCGGCGCATTCAGGCAGCTTCTTGCAGTAGAGACATGCACTATCAATACAGCTGTATCCCTGATGACATCTGCAGTCATCGTCCTCGATATTTGGACATGTGCTGTTGTCTCCTGTCAAGAAGAAAGAAGTTAGACTTGCCTTTGTCATAGAGGCCAGAAATTAACTTAACCATTAGTCTTACTGGCTGACACAGGTGAAATAGTTCCTTACTGTGCTGTGGTGGGAAAAATGGATACCAGAAAGATGTCACTCCCATGCATACTGGATAAAGTCTAGAGTACTCAAATTCAGCACCACTCAGATTTTTACACCATGGTTATCTGAGCACTGCATGACTCACCACTGTAACCCTTCTCTCTTATCTGGAATACCAGTGTAGGTCATGGTAGACAGAAGTAAGGCAGCAGGTTTGCTTTACTACATTGTGTAGATTTAGACACTGTGGGGTGAGGAGGGCACTGCCAGTGCCCCAGAGAAGGGGCACTACACATTAACTAGCCATCCAGCCAGTTCTCAGGACAGTGCCAGAGCTCTTCTCAGTTAGGCTCAGCCATGCTAGAGGAGGGGTGCCCAAAAGATCCTTGGCCGGTGAAGCTAGAGCTCCTTTTCCATGCCTTTCCTAACAACAGCAGCTGCTTCCTACACTCTGTTGGCAGAAGTGGGTCTAAATCCAAGCCATAAAACCAGCACCCTTCCTACCCTCTGTCCTTCTATTTCTAGAGGAGTTCTGTTGTGAACTTTGCTTGCACTCAAAAAATATAATCTCTAATTCTGAGAGGCTCCTGGGTTCATGAAAGCAAGGGATTGATCATATATACTGATCCCATCAGTAAACAGTATCAAGCAGTCCTTCAGGCAGTTGGACACCAGTTAGAGGAAAAGTGCTGTTCAACCAGGAAGCTCTATAACCTTAAAGAAAAAAAAAATATAGAGGAAAATGCTGGCTAGTTCAACAGCATGCTTAAAAACCCACAGTGAGTAGCAAAGATCAAGCAAAGATTATTTCCTGAGGTTGGTGATGGAATGTACAGGGTCACCAGGAACTGCCCACATCTTCCTCTGCCCACTGGTCTCCTCTTACTGGTCTTCAAAACTTAACGAAGTCTGGCAGCCAAAAGCAAACAGCTTGGGGATGCTTCTTTCTGTGTATTACTAGTGGGTGATTCTGGAGTTGATCCCACCAAGCAATGACTCTCCTACCTCATGCTGAATGACTTCATCTCAGTGGGAAGGGAAATAACCCTGGGGTTTCCACACTACTGAGGACTCTATAGCTCTTCACCTATTTATTGCTCATTCCCACAAATCCCATGTGTCCACTCACTCCTTCCACAGGGAACTCAGCGCCCTTGTCGGTTGAGGCAGATATATTCAAGCTACTAATAGGTGGGAGGCTGACCCCTACCTAGGCACCAATGAAAGATGTAACTTCTCAGCTAATTTTGTTGCTAACCTGCGGAACAACAGCATTACCATACTAGCTAGACAGGGCTTCCAGCAACCCTGTTTCGGGACAAACAGAAAAGGAAGGTGCATTCCTTGCTGTAGGTCATACAAACAGCTGCATGTTCGCTACTGTTCAGCTCTGGCTACCGTTATGGACAGCACTAAATAAGGAAGAATAGTATGATTGTTCCTGGGACCATGGAAGAGGCCATTAGAATCACCTGTTCTGTTCTTCAGCCTAACAGGCACAGAAGTGTCACCCAGTAAGTCCTGCAGCTAGCCTGTTCCACCTGTAGTGCCTTAATTTGACTTAAAATTACAGGCAAGTGAGAATCCATTACCATCTCACCACCATCCTAAGATCAGGCAAGGATACAGGTTAGAACAGGCTGTTGAAACTAATGATAACCTGAGACCCTGTCCGTGCATTTACTTCTGGGACAAGCACAGGCCAGTGGGATGGAGGGACTGAAGTGGGATGCTTCCTACTCTTTAGGATCACAAATTGCAAAGAACAGCCTTACAGAGAGCATCGCTCCCTGTATTCCCTCTGAAGTCTGAATGGCACAGACAAACTTTGAAACCATGTTTGAATGGAGCAAGGGCTCGGAATCAGCGTTAAGTAAACACCTTCTTTCCTAGTGAGCAAGACCAACCCACAGAAACTTAGCTTTCCCTTTCCCACTACAGAATAACAAGTATAAGCACATAACGAATCTGAAACATGAGTCCACTCTGAAGTTTATAGCTAAGGCACATTATGAATTTAGGGGGCAGGAGGGAAGCCCTTGCCGTTTTGTTTTGCATATACAGTTACTCAAGATACATTTACATACACACACACACAGGCCTGTTGCCCACACTTGATTACCCTGGTTGAAATAAAACAATATTGACAAACAGAAGGAAGACAGACACATCATTCCCTTACCTGTGTTTGAGCTGCATTTGGGGCAGCATTTCTTTTCCTCTTTATGGATTATTCTCAGTTCACCATCCTGGCATGGCGTTGCCAGAGTTTGCTGTGTCCATTGCCATAGGCACACCACCAGCAGCAAGCAAGCTCGAATCTTGAGGTGACCGACTTCACTTGTCTGTTCAGTCATGTCTTGAGCTATACAACCCAAACCACACTAGGGTGGG